CTGAAGAGTCAGAGTCAAGTGTCACAGGCGGGCTCTCTGGAGAACATTGTTCAGGATGAATTTCTTTCCTGGCAGAGCTGAGTCACTATTCACTATTAATTGAAAGTGGGCTGAAAAGAGCAGTGTGTCTGGTGGTGGGTATATGAGTCATGTCCCCTGTGTGTGCTGCTTTTTTTAAGTTATCCATATAAGCTGTACATCAGTACCTTGATAGAAAGCTGAGGTTCTGAGGGAAACTTTTATTATGTGGCTAATCAACTTATTTTCTCTGGTAGGTTAACAGTTAAGTAAATAAAAATGAGCCCAAATGCTAATTACAGAAATTCGGCATTAACAGCAACAGCAGTGCAAAATCAAAAACATTTAAACACAGAATTTCATACTTTTCAGTTATTCAACAGGATGCTTCAAATTGATGCTTATTTGCTCCATGTCTGCTGGATGTCCAACTGGTAGAGCCAGATTGAAAATGGATTTTTGACACAGTTAAGATACAATATGATAAACAGTTAAGACCCATTGTGTAATGTCTAAACACATCGTGACATAGTTTGACATTTTAGTACTGACATTTTTTTGTCACCTATTGTCCAACATATACTGATGACTTTAAGCCAATAAATGCTGTTGGTCTAGATGTAGTCTATGGACAATTGACCAAAGAGCAAATTAACCACCAGATCTGTATTTTGCTGTATATTCTGAATGTTGGGTAGAAATTATAATCTGTGTGAAGGTTTTACCACCTAATTTTACTAAAATGTGAATTTAAAGCAGTTCAAGGCTCTGCAGTATTACTATAACTATCAATGGACACTGTGGCATTCAAAGCAACGGTAAACCACATTCAGAGTTTCATACAAGTGTAACCGGTGTCGTTAAGCGGTCTGTGCATTGTGTTTTGCGTTGTTCATGGATGACCCGAGCCAGCATACAGTTTTGACGATCTCCGTTTAATTACTGACAATCTGACAACAGATATAACAATCAGTATATTAGCTTTCCCTCACAGTGACTCCTCTCACGTGGAACATTTACAGAAAGCGCGAAAACGTACCTGACAACAGATATAACAATCAGTATATTAGCTTTACCTCACAGTGACTCCTCTCACGTGGAACATTTACAGAAAGGGAAGAGGAGACGTGAGGGACACAATATATAGGCGGGGAAGTCCTCACAACACTAATCTACTGAGCACAGCGACCACACTTCAGAGGTTCCGCCCACTGATCTCCGACCTTGTCAGGTATTGAGCATTCAATAAAATGAAGAACACAGAATGACTTAATATAAAACACAGAATTTGTGTAATTTATACAAAATGATTTACAAATAAACCCCACTGCATATTTACAACTGTTACACAAGGTAAAAGTCAAAAGAAAAGCTTACATCGTTTTTGTGAATCGGCAGGTTTTATTGGAAGTCATACTGTTCCCTTCTTTTATTAAATAGTACAAAAATGTATATACAGTGCATCTGGAAAATATTCATACCCCTTCACTTTTCCCACATTTTGTTATGCTAAAGCCTTATTCCAAAATTGATTAAGGATGGAAACCAAGCCATGAAGTCCAAGGAATTATCTGTAGATCATTGTCCTGTCTGAGGTGTACTTAAGCCTGCATCATATGACGTGATCTTGGTGCCAGTGTTAAAATCACAAAAAAAAAACAACAAAAAAAACCCTCTTTATTCATAGTCTGCCTTCTTGTACCTGTGGTACTCTAACACAATGTTATAAATGTGTCGATATGTCAAAACACTCATGTGTTAGACTGCCAGAAAGAAGAAGGTCTTTCTATGTCCTTGTTCTATAACGGTATTTTATGTGGAAGTCACTGATAACGCAGGTTTTAAATTCTCCACATTTTCTAGTCTGTTGGTATTTATTATACATCATGACTGCAGAATGGTAGAGGAGACAGCTGGACATCATTTTGTGATAAATACAAATTAAAGTGGATTAGCTGTCATCACATCATCATTATTCAGCTCCCGTTGCAAATTTAAACAGTGTTCAGAATGAATTAGACTAAATTATCAATAATATTAGCATAATCGACTGAAATCCATGTAATAATTTCTGTCATTGTAATATGTACGTATATGTCTCAGTAGACATGGGTTTTAGTACATAATATGAGTGCAGATCAGTGTGTGTATGACATTAGAAAAACTTTTTGGTTACAACATTTCTCTTTTGATTGTGAAATTCACTCTACTCAGTTTAACTTCCTTTTACAACGTAAAATAATTTGTGCTACAGTCTTTGCATTTATAGATTAATACTTGTGGAGTTATGGAGTGGCAATCTGTTTAATTGGTGTACACACTTTTTGTGCTTCGGGTCCACTTGAAAGAATATTTATTTTTTATCTGTGACTAATATAAAACCAGCTCACTCCACCACAGCTACCTCGGAAGTAATATTTTTTTTTATTGTGAGCAAGTTAACTGAAGGCTGTCATAGTGACGGGTAAGAAATTGTAGCTGAACATTATTTTGTGTGTACACATCCTTTAAAATGTATGCACAAATTCAGGCAGTTGAATTAGAATGAAGGTCACGTAAGTAGAAATGAGTATGAGAAATACTTCTTTAGCCTTGTGACATACTTCACGCTGTTAGTTTCAACAGTCACTTAACAGTATGTGAGTGTTATGTATGCAATGAGGGCAGGAGACCAGGTCATGTGTTTCTCTGATCAGTAATGTGCTAAGTTGTTGTTGAGAATTCATAATGATGTGTTAATGGAAGATCCAGTTTGTTGCATTTTTCTTAGAAATCACTCAACGTATTTTCATTCAGCAGTGTTTAACCTGATGTCTGCCAACACGGAATATGGAACAACCTGGCTTGCTGTTTGTGTGTAAAATTGAAAGGGGATATGAGGCCTGAAACACAATTTCTGAGGCCCCCCCCCACCCCCGCTAACTCCACAAACACAATGTTGTTAGGTGAGCACTTTTTTTAGAGTGTGACCACATTCGACCATGCATTTCCCTCCTTCGTGTGTGTGTGTGTGTGTGCGTGTGTGTGTGCACGCATGCGTGCGTGCTTAGCAACAGAATGCCCCATTGTGAAGGCAGCACAGAGACCCTGTTATTGGCAGCTTTCTGAGTGGGAGAGAGAGAGGGAGTGCAGAAAACGATGGAGCGAGGAAGACGTGGAAAATGCCGGCTGGAAACTTTAGAAAATAAAATAACGTAGAAAAAAGGAAGTCTACATTTATTAAACAGAAGTATTAACTTTATAGTTCAGACGAAAACACTTTGACATTTTGGAAAATAAGCTTGAGTTTCATTTTATCGATAAAGTATCAGTTTCATCCCTCTGATTAAAGTACACTACACTTGGAAACACAAGATTTAATGTAAGTGTTGATGATCCACAGTTTTACCTCATGTTCAACACATTAACTGAACAATCTGACTTTACTGCGCTCCTGTTAATCAAATTGGATGGATTGGAGCTTACTTCCTACAGTTAGACAGCAATAAAACAAAGGTTTGGTGATCTTTGGTCGAAAGCATCATAAACCACAGATACCGTCTGACCTGGCTTCACTTTATGCAAATGTTCAATCCTTGGTAAAGAACCTTGGGGTATCATTTGATAGCCGTTTATCCTTCAGGCAGCATACCAGAAATGCATTAAGTCATCAAGACTAACTATTTTTCTTGTTTACCTCCCACTTAGTCTCAAAATTGCAATTTATTCAGAAGCCATAATATTAACGTTAAGTAGGAAGTTCTGTCATATCACTCTTTAACGTCATTGCACTGGTAGCCCATTACATTTAGAATACATTTTAAAACTGTACCTATTACGTACAAGGCCATTACTCGTCTGGCTCCAGATTATGTTAAAGATCTTTACCCCGACATACCAGGCAGGCCCCTAAGATCATCAGACTAATACCTTTTAGCTGTTTCACTGACCAGACTGAAAACCACAGGGTCCGTGTGTTATTGGTCAGATAACACCAGGTATAGTATGCTCTGCACTCGTAACAAGACATCCGAGCGTTCTCGATTAGACTGAACGACACCAGCCACACAGGGACCTAGCACACAGGACTAGGAGCGATAGACTCGTGATCCTAGACTCAGAGACCTGTAAGCGCAACCGACTTGGACAGAGACGCAGGACGGTCTGAGAGTGGTATGTGAAGGACTACCGAGGGTTTCTAACGTACTGTAGGTAGTACACAAGTAAAGAATAATAATCTGTGTACGTAAAGGTTGTAAACCTGTGATACAATTAAACAAAGTAGTAATAGCTAAATGTAGTGCCGTAGATAAACGTGCAGCGACGATGGTTACTAGACCCTGTCTTTTCCTAGGTAGGAGACAAACGAGAGGACTCCAAGAGGGAACAAAGGGAAATTTGACACCCCACTAAGATGACTTCTGCAAAAAGGACATGCTAACATTCCGATTCCTTTCTTCCCACGAGGACATACTAGGTATGACTCCCACGAAAAACGGACATGTGTGACTACGTGACTGGTGACTCCGTGTAAATTACTCTCGGTAAACACCTATAACCTCTGATATATGTATTTGTAAACTAACAACTAACTAATGACTAGTAATAAGGTAACAACTCCAAGATTTTATCCTAAATATACACGTTAAAGGTTTTTAGTGTAACCGAAAGAGTATGTCGTAGAGACATATCATACATCCTAGCGGTCTTTGACTGGACTAGTTAAGTTTTTAGCCTTGTCGGGACCGCTTATAATTAGCTAATAACGACGCAGCTGTGCGTCGAGACGTACTAGGACGTCGCCACTCCTTGTTTTGTGTGGAAGTCCATCTATAGTATGCGCATCGATAAAATTATGAGAGTTTGATTTGTTAAACAAAATTTCGAGTTATTTATTTTCTTCTGAATCTGGCCGTGAAAAGTTTACAACAGGTCTCTAAAGTGAATTGCCGTACAACTGGCCGCTGTTTTATAAGATTGGCCTAGGACTGAGTGTGTAGGCGATGTCGGAGCCGGCGCAGGCGCCCAGATCCATGGAGTTAAGTGTGGTTAGCCACAAAGTCCCTGGCCAAGCCTCGACCTCGAACTTTCGTGGTCCAAAAAGAACAAGTGTGGCGTCGCCTCGTCTGGAGAATCGAGGCCTTAGGCCAAGCAAGTTCGTGGTTTTCTAACAGACAGATCTCGTTTTCGTGGAGTATGCAGGCCGAATGCAGCTCTTCGCCCCCGCCCCGCCTAGTTGAGGACTTGAGTAGTTTTTCGGACGAAAATAGGTCAAACATGTGTTGCTACCTCTTTTGAATTGTTCGTCACGCACAGTTGACTTCTCTGTCGATCGTCATGACCCTTTAGACCAGAAGACTTCTCATGTCTCCCGTTCGACCTCGGTTAGCCGTAACAACAACAACAACAGCACAGCCGACACTCCCCAAAGGCGCGCCAAAACAATACTTCGCCGTGCGTTTGCCAATGCAGTACTACGTTCTGCTACGCGTACTGCGTCGGTAGCCTGAGAACCGTCACACTTTTCTCGGCCTCGATTGGCTCTTGGCCAAGTCTTGGACTTTTCGAGATTCGTTCCTCGACTTGGTCTCAACGGCAACCACACTTACCCAAGTAAAGGCTCCATGAATGCGAGCTAGGTGGTACGTCTTTAGCCGCCTCGACGTCCGACTCTTTTCTAACACATCACACACACATTACCAGACGCCTTGCATCATTGTCGAGGTCCTAACCAGGTAAACTGGTTACCCAAAACCCCATACCCGTGCAGTGACATGGTCCTTCTTATTACTTTTTCTCTAGAGGTGCTCCCGCAAGACCCGTCGTATCTGTCCAAAAAAGACACCATCTCAAGGATGAGCGATGTCCCACATAGAAACTCCCAACACTGAGACGTCTGGCAAATGTACGCTTTTCGATGTATTGTGGTCCCCTGCCCATTATGGCCTTTTCGTACTGTACCCTGGAATTCCACAGGTGTGGACTCCTCGCCGACCAGGTCTCGACACCCCCCCCCCCCNATAAAGCCACACTTATTGTTTTTACTTCGGCTGTGACTTTGTGTGTGCTCAGGATGAGTTTGGCTGTGTATCGCTAAACAAGAAAACAACACCTCCACGCCGTGGAGGTGTTGTTTTCTTGTTTAGCGATACACAGCCAAACTCATCCTGAGCACACACAAAGTCACAGCCGAAGTAAAAACAATAAGTGTGGCTTTATATTGAGTAAGAAAAAGGTTGATAAACGCTGTGAGAATGGGTCTGCAGAGAGAATTTCGCCGCGATCCCAACTGTCTGTTATCAGCCTGCAGCCAGGGAGGAGAAATCAGCAGAGCTGCCTGCACTGAGTGTGTGTGTGAGGAAGTCCGTGGATTGGTCAATTTGGACCAATCAGCGGGGGCTTAACGTAACGGCTCCGCGGACGTAACGTAACGGCTCCGCGGACGTAACGTAACGGCTCCACGGATTGGTCCATTTCGTTCCGGGTACGGTTGACATCATGCGTACCCGGGAGAATCAAATGGAAGTTTTACTCGCTACAGGGTGTACTTTGAGGGTTTGTGACTCTGCAGAGCGTTTACATGCAGAAAAACCTTCATAACACAGAAGGGGACGGGTAATAACCAGAAAAGCATGACATGGTACCTTTAAAGCTCCACCAGTGTTTTTGGGTTAAGACTTGAATAAGATTGTGTTGTCACTTGTTAGATTCAAACAGGTCAGGATTCGAGATGAAAAGACTTGTAGGAACTTTTTTTAAATGCTAACATTTATAACCAGAGGTAAAACTGTTATATTAAAAACCATACTATATTTGTTCTGTACTTTTAGATCATTTGTTTTTTTTAATAAACATAGGTTTGATGGATAGGGCTTGGGGTTCATGTACAGTATTGATATCGTTTCGATATTTGTTTTAAATATTATACATTTCTAAAGCTGAACAAAGTTTTCACTATGGAGGGGCTTTAAAGACTGGAAAAGCTTTATGAACGCAGTCCATTTACCGTTTGAACTCCATTTGATGTACCTTGAACCTTTTGAGTTTTTTTCCACCCAAAAACGACAAGAAATTCAAGTGAAATATATTGGTACACAAAATATAAAAGGTTCTCTGGACTATAAGAATAATCACAGACCACCATCGAGTGCTAAATAAAGTAAACACCAGCTCTGCAGCAGCAGTTGTACTCAGAGGTGGATTCACAGATCACACTGTGGACATTTGAACTTACCCAGTTGCACAATCAGGACACATCCAACACTATTTTGTATCCCTGCTCATCAGTCTGGGGGTTAAAGCGCCCTGAACAGATGGAGAGTCTTTTTCAAGGCAAACACAGTCAGACATCCATACCTATAAGCAATTTAGAGTTTCCAACGATGTGTGTTTGGACTGTGCGAGGCCTCAGCCTGCCAGAGGACTCAAACCTTGAGCCTTTTAGCTCAATGCCACCAATAAACTACAGACCTGCTATCATCCAAACCCTGCCCGTATACGGCTCTGCTTTTGGCCCGGACCTCTCAACAGCTTCAGGTTTGGATGAGTTTCTGCTAGTGTCTGCTTCTCCGTGGAGAGGCTGAAACAACGGGCCAAATGCACTCTTTACTCGCCTCGGATCCACCTCATCATCTGGTCTTTGTGCATGTGTGTGAGTGTGGTTGCTGGGGTGATGGCAGGGTTGGGTAGGCACTCCTCTTTAAGCAAGCGTGTGTGCCTGTGTGTGTGTGAGGCTGCGATCCATGCTAAACTGATTTCACCATGGCCGCGCCAGGGAGGCTAACACAATTACTGCTGGCTAATGGCCCCACTGACTGAGGGGGGAAGAGAGGCAGCGTGGGTAGCTTTCTGGAGGTCTCTCATCTTGCTCTCCTGCTCTGTTTTCTCTCTTCTGTCTCCCTTTTTCTGTCTCTCGCTCAAATGTCTTGACCCTTTTCTCATCCCTGCTCTCTCACTCTTTTATCATAGTTTCTGGGATACCCGTCGCCCTCGGGTCAACTCGGTTCAGTCTGGAGAAACTCAGAATACTGAGTGCAAAGGCAAATAAATGAAATAATAGTGTTCTGCCTCTCTGTGTTTCTGCAGCCATCAGGAGGAAGGAGAATGGTTGGTACGACGAAGAGCATCCTCTCGTATTCCTCTTCCTCGGCTCATCAGGAATCGGTAAATCACTCTCATCTTTCACACCAAGCACTTCCTCTCTGTCGTTTTATCTCATGAAAAAAAAGCACTCTCTTGAAAGTAGCTGCCAAAATAAACAGAACACTCGAGCAAGTTGAGTTTCTGAAGTTTGTTGAATGCTCGCGGAGTGTATTTTCCTCCTGACGGACTACTGGTTTCAATAGAAACAGAATACACAAGACTACAAAAGCACACGTGGCACACACACTGTGCAAGGTTAACACAAATTAGAGAAACTATCAAGCGTTCAGTGAAGGGGGTTGCTTTCGAAGAATCCTATTTACTCAGTGAAACAAAATAAGAATTTTAAGCAACATTTTTGACTGTTTATTACATATTCAAATGTAACGATAAATTGCAAATATCTTCATGTTTCGAAAAAGAAGGGCCTCATTTGAGTTAATGAAGACAAACAACTAAAACAATACATTTTTCAAAGGTCGTTCCTTCTTGATCTACTTGCTGAACTATTCCTATAGTCAACACACTAAGAGCTTTTATTACATTCAACAGGCCATTTATGCGTTCAACAGTTCGGAGAGGAAAGTAATGACATCATGAATAAGTTAAATGTATTCTATTGTTAGACGTCATCTACATTAGCAGTTGGTAACAAAAGCAACTAAACACTGGCAGTGTCACCTGATTTAGTCCCGCCCACACGTCTGTGATTGGCTCCCTTGTTTCTCAACTAATTTCCCTTAAGGGGTAATAAAGCTGATCATCAATCAATTTCCAACTGGAGACCATCTTGAATCACTGAAAAACATTGATGGGCAGCAATTCTGAGGTCATGAACCTGGCTCTATCTGGTGCTCAGTAAGCAGAGCTGCTGCTAATGTGCATATTACTACACACAATACACCCAATCTACAAATATTGATATAGCTTAGCAGTGAAACAGAAGTCAATATAGTCAAAAGAAAAGCATTAAATAATGCAGTTGCTTGTGAATAATTGTTTACAGGTGTGTATGATTTTGACTGATCAACGCATTTTCTGATTGACCAGTATTGGCTTTATAAAATGCCATCCTTTTCTAATATTGAGTTTATTGCAGCCCATTGAGCTGTAGGTGTCATAAACAGCTGATTGCACTTTAAAACACTGCCAGACTCTTTTTCTGATGCGCAGAGAGAGAACACATCTCAGAGCAACTCTACAGCCGTTTCAATTAAAGAAATCCACTGGGATGGGGGGGATGAATTGAGACGGTCCAAACTCTGTGGTGACCTTTCTGCCACAACAGATTCACACCGCACTCCTCTGTCCATGCATCCGTTTCTCACACTGTCAGAAATAGACAACAATGCCTCAAAAAGAATAACAAAATAAAAGAGAACCATTCATGGAGGGCTGTCCAAAATACCAGTGTTAGCTTTAAAGCTGTGTGTACTATGGAGTAGTGTAAAGGGCTAGGTATATGAAAGAAAATAAATATCACAATATAGATACTGCAGAGATATTGTGGGTTACAGAATAAAGGTTTTGATAAATTATTATTAGTTTTGTGGATTTAATCGCTGAGTGGCGAAAGGCAAATAATAAAACTGCTAGAAAAGTCTGGTAATTTCATAAAATGACATAATTTTACTGTAATGCAGCCTTTCAAGACCAGAAAAAGACAACACTTATTTAATATAACGATATCAGAATCCTCACACCCTGTCTAGTCTCATATCACAATATCAATATAGTGCCGAGTCCTACTTGTGTAGGAACACAAGTTTTGGATTAATTCTGTCATTAGATTTTCAGTAGTAAAGGACAACTTGACATGTCTGGTACAGAGAAAAGTTGAAATGTTCTCACACAGCAGCCGGATGAAAAAGTGTGAGTGTTTGTGTGTGTTTGGGAGAGAGGAAGACGGAGGGATATTAAGGGCCAGATAGATGGCTAAAAAAGACAGAGATGGTGAGATGACAGGCCAGAGAGATAGATGAAGGAGAGGCGGTGTTCATATTCTCTGTTGCCTTCAGCGACAAACTGTGGCCATAAGACATCAATATTAAACACAGCAACAAGACACACAGCCTCTCACACACACACACACACACACACACACACACACACACACACACACACACACACACACACACACACACACACACACACACACACACACGCACAATCATCATCCCCATACCAAACACAAGACATCAATATCATATATGAGCATTTATATGCAGAATATTTTAGCGACAAACATAATGTGTTCTTCTGGAGAGCGGCAGATGATTGAAAGCTTAGTTGTCGGAGGCACTGGGATTTAGGCCAGCACTTAGAGAAGGAGAGACATCGTCTTTCTGTCGGAAATGAGTAAGCTTGTTTTCCTGAAATCTCTGCATACTGATGTGTTCAAAAAAATAAGAAGGGGTTGTGTTTTTTATATTAAAAATTATTAAATGGAGGGCACGGGTTGTTCCTTTTATTAACGTCTCTGATCTGTCCGATGTCACAGGAAAGACAGAGTTGGCCAAACAGGTGGCTCGCTACATGCACAAGGACCTGAAAAAGGTATGTGCGCACACACACACACACACACACACACACACACACACACAGAGTATACACAGCGGTGATGTTACATTCAGTCAATAGGTGGAAAAGAAGTGTTCTCATAGATAAAAAAACACAGACATTTAATTTAGCGACCTATTCCCGCTGTGAAGAAATGACAGAGAATTCAATTTATTTTGGTTTCCATGGTAACTATTAGTACCAGATGTTCAACAAGATGATACACACTGATACAGCAGAGTATGGAGGTTAACCCATCGTGTGATTGCAGGGGTTCATCCGTATGGACATGTCCGAGTTCCAGGAGAAACACGAGGTAAGACCCTTGATTACTTCTGTATGTACTCATTATGGATGCATAAACAAAAATGTCGTATCTGTTCCTTGTTTGGAAGCTTTGTTGATACATTTAATCAGTAAATCTGAGTATTTTGCCTCATCATTTCACACCAGAATTGTTTTGTGGCTTTCAGCATTATATGTTAAGTGTGATTCTTACAATTTACTTTGCGTGTTACATAGTTTAAAACGTACCTCTGTTCCTCGTCTCCCAGGTGGCAAAGTTCATTGGCTCCCCGCCGGGGTACGTGGGACACGAGGAAGGCGGTCAGCTGACCAAGCTGTTGAAGGCGTGTCCCAACGCTGTGGTCCTGTTCGATGAAGTAGACAAGGCCCACCCTGATGTCCTCACCATCATGCTGCAGCTCTTTGATGAGGTATGTGTATACACACACACACACACACACACACACACACACACACACACACACACACACACACACACACACACACACACACACACACACACACACACACACACACACACACACACACACACACACACACACACACACACACACACAAAAGAGCACAGAAATATCTGTTAGTCACATTTATAAGACATTTGCAAACTGTAACGAGTCACTTTTGCTCTCTCAGGGTCGCCTCACAGACGGTAAGGGGAAAACCATTGAATGTAAAGACGCCATCTTCATCATGACCTCTAACATTGCAAGTGATGAAATTGCCCAGCATGCACTGCAGCTTCGTCAGGAAGCAGAAGACGTCAGCCGCAGGAAGCTGGCGGACAAACTCGGTGAGAAACACAAAGCTAAATACAAATGCATACACGAGGATGACTTGCATTTGTTTCGTAACATTTGTCATCTTACTACAGCGTCAAAATTGTACATTGTGATTTTATTTGTTCCTCCATCGAGAACGCTTTTAATCCCATTCTGACATTACTCTTTTATTTGTTGCTGTGATATAATAATGTGAAGTATGGTCAAATAGTTTCCCTACAAAATCATTGTATAAATGTTTAAGAAAAGTGAACACATTCACTCCAACTATAGTGATTTTGTGTGACACGGTAAAGACATACAGAGCCCTCAGATAAACAAAATCTGAATTGAAATGGATGTTGTCATTTTCCCCAGAGGACGTACAGAAAGGGGATGACGTCAAAATCTCCCGACAGTTTAAAGAAAGTGTGATTCGACCGATCCTAAAGGTAAGCAGGAAAGAGAAAAAAATTCATCAGTGTCCTGTATTTGGCCTGAGAGACATCGGTAGTCATTGTCACTTCTTTGGTTCCTCCACAGGCTCATTACCGGAGGGACGAGTTTCTGGGTCGGATCAATGAGATCGTATACTTCCTGCCGTTCTGTCACTCAGAGCTGCTGCAGCTGGTCACCAAAGAGCTCAACTTCTGGGCCAAGAAGGTAAGCAACACCGTGATATCACAGCACCGGACATTTATAACCTGGGTGTCCTGCAGTGGGGCTATATGCCCCGCCCACTTCTTCCTGCAGCCGCTGAGCTGTGCAGGAACACACCAGATCAATATGATGTGCCACTACTACTCACTATAATGTGATTACAGTGTTTAACATGTGGAGCCTTCATCAATATTTAATTATTAATATTAAAGCGGGTCTCCTGAGAGCCAGCAGGACCCTGCAGGCAGCTGATAGGACCCTGACTCATGACTCACTCACTGTGTGTGTGTGTGTGTGTGTGTGTGTGTGTGTGTGTGTGTGTGTGTGTGTGTGTGTGTGTGTGTGTGTGTGTGTGTGTGTGTGTGTGTGTGTGTGTGTGTGTGTGTGTGTGTGTGTGTGTGTGTGTGTGTGTGTGTGTGTTATTTAATGTTTGATGTGTCTCGTAATAGCTAGCTTCTGTCTGCATGTGGCTGCGAACACACAGCATAAATCTCATTATGACAGAATCCTCAGGAGACATTTGTTTGTCACTCACTTAAATGAAATCAATTAAATGTTCAGTGCTATCATAATTTGCCTTTAATACGGTATTTAAATGTTGTGATATTAGTGTTTGCATCTCTGGAGTAAAACATGGCGTAGGACTTATTGAATGGAGTGTTAACATGAGAAGCTAAATGAGCAGCTCCGCTTGCTGCTATTGACTGATGTTTGATTAAAACGCATTAAGGGCCTGTTGATTAGCGCTGGCAGACATGCTGCGTGACACTATCTGCTCTCTGTGTCCGTCTCCTGCATCCACCATCAGCTCCGTCTGATCTGACTCTTTATGGTAGTGTGTTATACTTAAGACCTCGCCATTTTAAGCTCACCCATTTAACACTTTTTTTCTTTAAGGATTAAGAAGGAACTATTTCTTGTCATATGCACTAAAGCCACAGTCTAGCTGTTGGCAATTGGTTCTTAATCGGAGACAACAGTGCAACATACGATAAGCTAGAGACATAAAGAAATATGAAATGAAATAGTGCAATTAGAAATGCAGGAATGAGTAAGCTGTGTTCAAGTACAATAGATTAAGATAAAACAGAATGTGAAATTCAATTCTGCACAGTAGAATAAATACTGTATACTGTGATGATATATAAATCTGTGGATATTTGGAACAAACAGATGTGCAGACGAACAGTGTTTTATAGACATGTGTGTGTGGGGACCTCGGCAATCTTATTCTCTTCTCTCTCCGTCATTAGGCCAAGCAGCGCCATGACATCACTCTTCAGTGGGAGCGCCCGGTTCTGGACCTGTTGGCGGGGGGGTACAACATGCACTATGGAGCACGCTCCATCAAACATGAGGTATGAGCTGCAACTGGGTTAGGATAGTTCGATTCAACTCTGGTTATGTGTGTGATTTGCACGTGATGTGTTATGGAACTTGTATGAGTGTTGGCAATAAGCTTGTGCTTGGAGAAAGAAGGGTTTTTAGGGGTTTTTCTAATATGTTATAGCCCGAACAATTAGTCAAATAACCAAAGGGTCTCCTTTCAGCAGAGAAAAATGACTGATTTTCAGAAGTTAAAGGTTAAATACGATGATATGAAATGACTGCAATTTATTTTTATTTCAGGAATTATGAGACTGCGTTTTTTTTTCTAGATTAATGTCTGGTCTGTAAAACAGAAAAGCGAGATATTTAGGATGCTGAAAAAACTGCATTTTTGTAGGATACAATCATTTGTTATTAATTGATGATCAGAGTAGTTTGTACATATTTTTCTGTCTATTCATAACTTCTATAAACAATGCAGTTATGGTTAGTTAATCCTTGACTGTTATATAAATAAACATAAGTAATACAATATTCTAATTGCAAATAAGGAAATGGGAATAATCTGATGCTATGGGCCAAACAACCTGCACAACTCAGACAACACAGCCTGTATACTACTTTAAATATAATGGTACCACTTTACAATAAGACTACCCTTATAAAGGGTTTACGAATAGTTTGTAATTCATTTATTAATTAGGTTGTGAACACTTTATAAATCATTAATAAGCTTTTATAAGACATGTGATAAACAGGGCAACTGTGAGCGGTTGCTTGCCAAATAGTGAGCCCACGTTCATCTGTACTGCTAAGCCTTATATTGGCTACTTAGCTTACTTTGTCTTCTTCATCAGCCAGCATTCTGGGTATCTGTTGCTCACTGAGTTGATTCTCACTAAGTAGCCAATAGAAGGCTTTGTCATCTTGCCAAATAGTGAGCCTGTGTTTATTAAATTGCATTTATCCGATGCTTTTATCCAAAGCGACTTACAATAAGTGCGTTCGACCAACAAGATACAATCTTGAAGAAAACAGAATCATATAGTAAATCAGGTTTCATAGAGCCAAACATTTCAAGTGCTACTCAACTGGCTTTAGATAAGCCAGTCCTTTGTTAGTATATAAGTGCTTTGTTAATAATTCTATCGCTCGAAGTGGAGTCGAAAGAGATGAGTTTTCAGTCTGCGCCGGAAGATGTGTAAGCTTTCTGCTGTCCTGATGTCAATTGGGAGCTCATTCCACCATTTTGGAGCCAGGATAGCAAACCCACGTGTTTTTGCTGATGGGAACTTGGGTCCCCCTCGCAGTGCGGGTGCAGCGAGCTGTTTGGCTGATGCAGAGCGGAGTGCACGTGCTGGGGTGTACGGTTTAACCATGTCCTGGATGTAGGAAGGGCCAGATCCATTCGCAGCATGGTACGCAAGTACCAGTGTCTTGAAGTGGATTCTAGCAGTTAC